TAATTTATCAAACTCAACTTTTGTTGTTGGCAGGAGACGGCAGTTGATGGAGGTGAATGTTTTCCCACAACAGCGCCGTATCATAAACACAGGGCAGCTGATTCACGCCACACTTATTTTCTGTCATCCACCCTTGGTGTCACCCTGATATTTCTTCGAATGATAAGCCTGTGTGTGTGTGCTCACAACACACCGCCGAGGCCCCAGTTTCATCTCTTTGTGCAAATTACACATTAATTAACCATTAATAACAGTGGGAGTTGCAGGCAGAAATCCACACCCGCCGTGATGAGACTGTGCCCTTGGTGAGCAAGTGCCTTTATTAATCACCTGCACCTCAGCTGGAGCTCCTGCACAGCCCTGCCAGACAAGTGCCCCGCAGAGGGAAGCGCTCACCAGCCCTAATCCTGACTTAAAGAAAAGCCTTACCTCTTGCTCTATGAATTTTATTTATTTTGGTCCTCTGGGCAGTGCTTGCTGTTGTTAGAAACATGATTGCTTCATACAGTTATGTTAATGTTTGCATTTGACAGAATGTAATTGATACTTGGCTGCTCCAGTTTCAAAGCCAAATTAGGAAATGAAGTGCTGCACATTAGCTTGTTTAGCTGGTTAAATACTGTAAATAAATACGTGCAGGGCAATGAAAACTAATGAGTTTTCTTTAAGGCATTTTCTAAATAGCTGGCTTCACAAAAAAGAAGAAAAAGATGCTGCTGTGAACTCATATCCTGAAGGATTTCTCATTTTGCTGCAACAAAAGTTGATCCTGTCTGAAATCTGAACACTGGATTTCACTTAGAGAAAAGGATTTTGCAAGTTATGGAGGAATCATGGCAAGAACTGTTGCAAATTTCACGGTACTTTTATCAACAATACTTCTGTGACATTGCATTTAACAAAGCCACTTTTTGCAAGGGATTAATTCAGACCATGGTTATATGTCAAGTTATTCTTCTCAATGCTCACTAGAAAAACATCTTTGTAAGAAGTATTTGTGCTGCTAAATCTGTGCACTGCCATAAGGCTGAACGTTAGGCTTTTTTCCCTGACAGAACGCAACAGCATGAAAAAAGTAGGGAAAAAAAATTGGTTTTCTATAAAGAGATAATCTGTTGAGAATTGCTTGACAGAGTGCACTCAGCACTGCTGGAATAATAAGTGTTTCTCAAGTTATCTCTCAGGCCTGCCCTCAGTGCATTAAAGGAGAGCTAGAGGAGAGTATTGCACTGGTGCTGTGATCCAGCCAAGGGCAATGAATTTTCCTCTTGTACATCTATAAAATAACCCTGTTCTTTCACCCCTCTGCTTTCATAAATACTACATTGATGCAGAACTGCCTTTGCCTAACTTGAAGATGTTCTACTAAAATCAGGGCACCGTTTAGCATAGGTAGAGCTGAAACTCTACCAGTCCTTTTTGACTGCAAATAACCTCAGCAGTATCACCTCCTTGGCAGAGATGTTGACCTTAAACCTGAGCTTGCTGAGCTGGCTGTTTTATCTGGCACTTTCAGAGGAAGCTGGTTTACAAATTCTGCTGTGCTACTTCAAAAGAAAATTATTGAACTGGTGCCTAAAATGCAGCTGAAGTACTAAGAGTTGATAAAAATACATACTTAGGATGTAAGGTCCATCCTGACTGGGAGGTGGTTCGATGCCGGCTTAGGACAGAGACCAGGATGTTGTGAAAAACCTCAATTTTTCCTGTGTTTTTAGCAACAACACAGGACTGAAGTCTCACAGCACTTTTCAGAGAAGGCAATTTCAAGGTGAAAATGGTACCAGGTCTGCAAAATACCTAAGAGATTCATGTGGTCCTCAGCCAAAAGGACCATTTAAAAATAGACAAACTATGACTCTCTCAAAAAGAAATGTGTGCATTGCATAAATCAAAGTTCTCACACCCACCATCAAAAGTTTAATCACTTAATATGCTGGTTCTTTCAACACGTTCTGAAACTTTGTATACAATAATACAAACGATGGGGTAACGAAGCAATAGCAATTTATTCTGCTGTACAAACGGATGTTGCATTATAATCCCTAAAGCAATACAGAGGCTGTTTGCAGATGTTACTACAATTTGGCGTTTATTTTAATTGCTCTGCAGCACAGCTCATGTGAAACAAAGTCACGGGATGACCTACACGTTCACCTACTGAGGGTGACTTAACTGCAAGGGGGAGAAAAAAATGTTTTGAAAGTTTTCGAGGTTTCACTTAAATACGAACCTCCTGCAGCTGTTTTGAAAGGATGCATCAGGGCTCCTGTCCAAGCCTGAAAGCATGGTAGGGCAGGGGGTAATTTAATCAGCCAGGCTATGCAGTGTGCATATTTTTACAAGTCTTGCAAGAATGACATCAGTAAAGTAACTTGAGATATTTTGGTGTCTGACATTCACTCAGCAAGTGCTAAGAAAATATGCTTACTGCACAGATCACTGGCTTCACAGAGTGGGAGTCAAGGTAACTCATGAGAGTCTGCACACTTTCCTTTATCACTGACCAGGTCCCTATTCCCTCCTTTTCACTTTCCACTTCCCTTCTAAAAGTAAAAGCTGTTTTTAAAGTTGCTCCTGCTCAAGGAGCTGCCTAGAAGCAGTTGCTCCACTAAAGAGATTTCAAGCAAAAGGACAAAGTTAAACATGAGGCAAAGTATAAATAAAAATCAAGACTCTCTTCCTCCTCCTTTCCACTTGTGAGCGATGATCTCACCGCTCCGGGTGGATTGCAAGGGTGGCTTGATCTCTTTCAGGAAAGCACATTCTCTAACCTTGATACTGCAGCTATTTATACTCCTCTCATCTCACCACAAAGAAAAGCAGCTCTAATAATCCTTCCCTTCATTTTAATGAGAGCACCGTGCTGCCTCCCAGCAGCAGGGTCAAGCCTCTGCCCACGAGCTCTAGCTCCCTGTAACACCAATGCTCTTGGTTACTGCCTCTCCTTCTGGCTGCTCACTTTTAGACATCTGAGATCGGATTTTCCACTGGCTGAAGCATCACATTGCCAGGCACACAGGTGCAGGATGACAGCCCTGCCGTGCCACAGCATCTTCTGCTCACAGGGCACAGAAGGAAACAAATGCATGGGCTGAAAGGCAAGAGGGTTTCTAAAATTCAGAGGCAGAGTTCTAAAACTCCTCTCTCCCTTGTTTATCAGAGGAGTAGGACATCCCATTTCACATAATCCCGGGGACATCCCAAGCCTTTTCCACCTCACAAGAGGCAGGATCCATCCCCTGTCCCCACTCTCCCTGGGAATTCAATCCCAGGCTGAGTTGAGGGAGTTCAGGCTAAGGCATGATGGAATGCATATCCAGACCATAGAGGAGCTGATAGTCTCTGAGGCCAAACCCCATTTTTTCAGATTAAACTAGACACACTGAGCTGCATTCCTCTTGAGACACCATAAAAATTGGGGACAAACATTATGAAACCAAGTTTATTAAAACTTTCTACAAGTCAGACTTTTATCATCCAGGTTTCCACAGACATATACATATGTACAAATTGGACATAGTGTTTTTAGCTTTTCTGGCAGAATTTTCTACCAATATATACAAATGTACTGTTTTTCATAGAAGGGTTAAACTGTATCACAGATACAAATGTCAAGCAATCATGAGAGGTTTAGTGCAACGGAGAGCTGGAGCGCTCTGCTCTTAATGCTCATGATTCTGTCAAGTTAGTATTGCCAACAATAATTCACATTAAACTGCTCTTTGACACCTCTTATTAAGACAAAGTACAACAAAACAAGAAAACAAAACCCCAAACAGTAAGGTATGTACAAAGTACACAGTCCATGAGGTATACATGGTATTCTTGCAACGCGTGGTGGGACTGCAGCTTGCCAGGGTTAACCCTTAAAATGACTTCACTCGAACTGGGTGGTGTTGGGAACATGCATCACCCACCTCATGGCCATTTTAGAAGCCACACTCTTGCCTAAGGTGAATGGACATCTCTGCATAAACCACTGGACACATGTGAAACTAAGCAGAAATCTTAGGCAGGACTAAGCTTTACTTACCCCCAACCCAGGAAGCTCATGATTCAGATATATTCATTATTCACACATATTGGAAAGACTATGAATAATCATGCAAAATAAAAACAAAAAAACCCCCAAAATTTTAAAAATTAAAAAAAAAAAAAGGAAAAAAAAAAATGGCGGGGGAGGCTGGAGGCAAACAGCATACCTGAATAATCAGCTTAGGGTGTACGGAGATTTTACTCTTAAGACTAACTTTTTGTGGGGGTGGAGAGGGAAAGAGGAGGTGATGTGGTATTTTTAAGAGTTAAGCCGGTTGAAAAACATGGCCATGTTTACAGGTACTGTACAAGACACCCCTTATCCTTTCCAGGGGAAGGTGCCCCAGCCGATAGTGTTACGGTTTGGTAAACGGATACGTTTTGGCACTCGGAGCTAACGAGACCTGCTACTTGACAAGCTCGCTGGGGGCATAAAGTTATATAGGCTACACCGTGGTAACACGAGGCTTAAGTCTATTTAAAACGCTTTCCTGGACAGCGAATGGAATCAGAAGGGATCCAGCTGGGAGATCCACTGGTTTCTGCTTCAGAAAGAGCCACAGCAGTGATTTGTCTTACGGGTGGACGTAGGAGCTTCACGCCTCTGAAAGCAGGATCAGCTGGAGGAGCAGCAGCGAGCAGAGAGCTGGCCATGGTGGGTGAAGACCTCCTTCCCTCACTATCGTGTGCTTACAGTCAGAGAGCTGCTTCGTGGGCTGGCTGCTGGGGCACGCCGAGGCGATTCCCCTTTTAACCATTTCTGTCAGATTTGTTCAGGCAGAGGTGCGCCACGTGCCCCTCTGCCTCTACACATTGTGGCCAGGGCTCCACACCTCTGCAGCCGCTGCAGGAAAGCAGAAGGAGCTGCCTTTCCATCCCACACCTCGCCAGACATAAGACTCTGCAGCCAAGATGTGACCAGTTACACCGGAGGAGGATGCGGGAGGCAGAAGAGCCAGAGAGTTCTCACAAGGCTGCACAAGTCCTCCAGGGCTGGTGGGACTGACCAGCAGAGCGAGAGGATGGAACTCTGAGTACACTTAGGGAGTGGAGACCTCCAGGGTGGCATTCATTTAGACAAGGTCACTTTTCTGACCATACTGGCACTTTAAGATGCTGTTGAGTTTGCAGAAGTGGGAAAATGAAACCCTACAAAGATGCCGGAGGTAAGAACCGACGAGGTTTTTGAGATTTCGGGGTTAGCAGAAGAAGGAACTAATATCATCACTGTCTCCATGATATTCTGGGACAATCTGATCTGAAGCTCCCGTCTCCTGGTCTGTATATCCAGGCTCCAAGACTGCCTCAAACCAAGGGTGAAGCAAGATCTCTGGAGCAGTGAGTCTTTCGGAAGGCTCCCGCCGCAGGAGGCTGCGGATGAGGCAGCGGGCTTTGGGGGAGACGTGGTCAGGAATACAGAACTGTCCGCGCCGGATTTTGGAAAACAGAGTGCTAGGGTCCGAGTCATGGAAGGGATAGCGTCCCACCAGCAGGGTATAAAGCATCACTCCCAAACTCCACACATCGGCTGATTTTCCAGAGTAAGTCCCCGTCGTGTTTAGGATCTCAGGGCTGACGTACGCCGGGCAGCCGTGCTTGTCTGACAGTGCATCGTCTTCACCTTTGATGATGTGTGTGTCTTCCAGACTCTCCAGACGCAGCTGAGTCCTAGGGAGGGCAGGAGAGGAAGCCACATGTGAGAAATAGCAACAGTAGTCGTGAGCAAGCACAGCAAGCCCCTGCCATGGCCCCATTCTCTCTGGCATTGGCACTGAGAAAGGAAACACCTCAACTTGCAGCAGAGAAGTTGCCCAGACGCCCGGGAATGTGTAATGGAAGTGCTGCTGTGTGCATCGGGCAGGCATTCAGTGAAGCTCCTGTTTTTTTATTACCTGGAGATTTTAACAACACAGAGGACTCTTGAGGAACACCAAGTCTCTGCTACCCACGCAGGTTGCAGTGCCACTGCAGGGGGTTAATTGGTGACATGGCACTTTACAGCCACTGTGTGCCGTTCAGGCTTTGAGCAAACAGCATCCAGCTGTGCGATTCCACAAACCACAAAGCCCAGCTCCCCTCTGCACTGGTGAGGATCATTGCCTTCCCTCAGCTTTGTTTTTTTTTTTTGATGTTTTTTTTTTTTTCATTTTAGTTCATAATTTATTCTTTTTGCCTTTTGGAGCGTATCACCACACGCACCATCTCCAGGTGGAGATGGGTCCACCCCAACCTCCTATTTTGGAGGGTAAGGGGAGCTCCCGTCGGCAGGGAAGCCACCAGGCAGCCCTGGAAGGGCTCTGCACTGCCTGGCAGCCTGCAGGGGTGTAGATATGTTGGCTTCAGCCTGTCCTCAGCCTGACCTCGGCAAATACCCATTGGTTCTGCAAACGGAAAATATGACTCAACGAGAACCGTGGGCCCGGGATTGGCTGCGGGAGCCCTGAAACTGCACCTGTGCAGAGCCCGCGTCGCCTGCCATTGCTTAACCCTCTTCTTGCCAAATGTGATGCACATGACATCGCCTGTGCAACACGTTATTTCCAAATGAGCGAGACTGTGCGCAACGTAACATTTCAACAAATGTTTCATCTTCTTATGGGAGGGAAAAGCTGCAATAGTTTCCTTCAAAGGAATAGCTTTCTTTACATGTCAACATATGGCTGTTTCAGAGGGGCAGTGCTGGTTAATTTTCTTATCAAATTCGTAATAGATATCCTGAAGAATCATTAGCCCAGTTCAACAAAACAAACAAAATCCCTTTTTCTTTTGCATCAGTAGTATCACCTTACATTTTTATGATATTAAGTTTTCAGCTTTCAGTTTCCATTACAGCTTTTACTTAGTTTTTTAACATTCCTTGGGATAAGCAGCTAGTCAAGAGTCAGTTTTGCTGTATTTCTGACTCTGCCACATGTGGTAAAGCACTGCAAGAGCAGCAAACACTCCAGGGGAATACTGAATTATTTCCCTAATCTAAATTTAACAACTAGATTCTATGATCTCTTCTATGAACCTAGGCTTTAGGCTAAGTTTTAGTAAAGTGATTTTCTTTGATGCAGGATTCCCAAAGCATTATTTAACCACATCCCACCTTCCCTCCTGTGCGTGCCCACGATCCACAGGCATGGGGGGCATGGGAAGCACAGCAGTAGAGGGGGGATAAAAGCCTCAAAGGGTTCATTCAGCAGCATCACTTTCATCAGCAGAGTGGTTCAGCAAAGAGACCCTACCCAAGTGCTGGGGCTCCACCGTGGGTCACAAGGCAACTCTCCCGAGGAGGGACCAGAGCTCCAGCTCCTCACATCTCCTGCTCCCCCAGCTGGGCTGCTCCCTCCCGCCGGTACAAGACCTCAGCATCTCCCCTCTCCCTCTCTGCTTTTTATTCATTTGACACTGAATGAGTGGCACACATGACATCTTCTGGCGCTAACGAGCATCTGAACTATCATCCCTTTGTCTGCCAGCGGGTTTCACTGAACTTCTGCTGAATGAGAGGAAGCTCCCGGCGAGCTTCCTCCCTTTCATCAGTCAAGATCTAAGAGGGAGTGCACCCCGGTTAGATCCGTGACCTACTACACACACGTGATGAGGACCTACTCGGATTGCTCGCAGGTGATGCCCGGCTGACGGGGCTGTTTCCACTCCCTGGCACGCTTTTTGTGTCTCTGGATGTGGCGTTCCTCCCTCCCCACTCACCCCAGGGCTGGCTGCTGACTTACCTCTCTTCATTAGAGAAGACAAATTTCCTGAGCTTGAGGTCACCAAGTACGATGGCTGACTGGTGGCAGTGAGCTACAGCGGAGACAATCTGCTTGAACAGCCGGGCAGCCTCCTCTTCCCTCAGCCTCTTGCAGCTCCTCACGTAGGAGTGCATGTCCCCAAAGTCCTTTTCAAAGAACACATAGGCCTTGGTGTCTCCGAGAATGACTTCGACAACCCCGGTGATGTTTCTGTGTGACGGCAGCTGAATGTAAGGTCGGATCTTGTCCTGGTAGTGTTTGAGGGGGAACACCTGTATAGAGGAAATTAAACCCAAATTCATTCTCAAGGGCGTTGAAAGCTGCAGCTCGCGTAGCAACTCTCCCCAAACAATGACGAGAGAGCTGGAGGGGAGCCAGGGCTCGGCAAGACCGGCAGGAGCGGCTACCGAGACCCTTCCTGTTCGTTGTATATCGAAAGGCTGGGGGGGAAACTAAAATAAACCACTATTCCCACAGCCTCGGGGGGGAAGGCGCTTCGAGGTAAGCCGGAGTCCCGGCTCACTCGCAGGGCGTACAAACGCCGCCGGGGGCTGGCCGGGCGTTCCCAGCCGTGGAGCACCGGGAGGATGTTCGGCAGGACCCGCTCCCCACCCGCGCGGCTCCCGCTCACCTTGCAGCGCAGCTCCCGGCCCGAGCTGACGCTCAGCGCCCGGGACACCTGCTCCCGCTCGGCCAGCGGCAGCAGCAGGTACGAGGCGATCAGGCTGGGACCCGCCGCGCCGCCGCCGCCGGCGGGAGAAGCGGGGGCACACGGCGAGCCGGGAGCGCTCAGGCAGTCCGGGGGGCCGCATTCGGCGAGCCGAGGGCACTTGGCGGCCGGCGCTTCCTCGGCGGGGCCGTCGTGCAGGGGCTGGAGGCGCTTGGCCGGGGCGCTGCGGCAGCGGGCGGCCGGCAGCAGGGACGCGGGGCGGCTCATGGGGGGAGCGGAGCGGGCGCGGAGCTACAGGCGGGCGCTGCGCGCTGGGCGCATCCCTTCGCTCTCCCCGCCGAAACCTCGGGCCGTGTCCACCATCTGCTGCCGAGTCCGCGCTAAAGTAGTTAGAGGCTTTTAAAAAAAAAAAATTTAAAAAAAAAGGTGATTCTCCTCCTCCTCCCGGCCCTGACGCACGGGGAAATGGGAGGAGGGAGGCTGGGACACGCCTGCTCCGCTCCGCCCGCTGCTCTCCGCGCCCCGGGCCCGCCGTGCAGCCGGGCGGGGCGGCGGCGGAGTCGCTGCGGGACTTGAAGGGGCCGGGCGGGGCGGCGGGGACCCCCCCCCCCTTCGACCTTAAATAATTGTGTCGAGAAAGCGAGGCCACCTTCCTTTCCAGGATCTTCTTGTTCATACAATTGCAGGTTCCCAGCCCCAGTCCTTACTTTTCACTAATCCTAAATAACTAAATAACTAAATCCCTCACCCCAAGGTTTGCATCACAGCGCTGTTGAGTGAGCATAAGCGTTTACTCATACGCGTAGACGTAACGTGCACCATCAGAAATACTTGGCACTGGGTGTTTCCCATGTTAAAACTATATCTGCTGTCCGAAAAAGGAATAGCTCGGAGAGCCAGGCAGCAGCCAGCAGCTGCAGTGACCTGCGAGGAGCAGACTGAGAGGAGCTCTACACAGCTCAATAGCATGGCTTTAAAGGAGTTGTAAATAGACTTACAGCCGGGACTGGTAGTAAATGGAAAAGGAAAAAAAAAAAAAAAAAGAGACAAAACCAGACAACAGATCATCCCTGGGATAAAAAAGCAGACAGCTGTAGTTTTTACAAGAATGCTTCAGAAGAAAACTCTACAGTTTTCTGTTTATATATATATGCAAATTTTCTGTAATTTAGCGCTGAAGCTTCCCTAATATTAACACAGGGACCCTGCATTTTGTTATTCAGTAGGATCAACTCCTCCTCTGTTTTGGTTTCCCCAACCCGGGTCTGTACAAGAGGCAGAGAGGGCTGAGTGAGGATGGGTCACCCAGCTCTGAAGCCTGTGATGCCACGTGTGCAGGTATTTGCTCGGATTCCTGATAGATAACTGCACAGTAAACCCATGCATGCCTTCAGCTACTTCTAGTGTATTTTAAGAAACACATGAAACTCTTGTGCGGGATGACTCATAGCATAGCAGTCCCATTAATGCATTTAAACATAAAACGCATATGCCATAAAGGGATATCCCAGGGCCTGCATTTCTTTCTTTTTTCTTTTTCCCCAGAAATAAAATTCCGTTAATGCCTGCAGATTGTTTCTGAGTGATTCACCACAACTCTCAAAGCACACTATTTTATTTGGTTCCTCTCATAGGTAAAACACAGGCAAGTATCTATCAGACCTTTTGTTTTACTTTTCCCTTCCTGGAAGTTTAATGATTGGAATGCTGCTGCTGCTGGGTGAATTTAGCTGGTAGGATGCCACATGTGTGGGCTGCTTCCTACATCTGAGACAGCACAAGGTGCAGGGTGGGGGGGAAGGGTATCAGTACCTTTGGGGACAGGGGAAGGGTGCAGACAAAAACAAAAGAGCAATGGACCTGCATAAAGGTTCTCATGGGCATTAGTGTGTACTGGTGTCCCCTGTAGCTCTCTCAGAACTGAGATGCAATGTGAGCAGGAATGAAGGTGTCAGTGTTCCCACCCTCCCAAAGATCCCCCCTCTCAGCTCCTGTGTCAGATCACTGTCCCTGCTGAGGAGAAGGGCCACACCGAGGATCTGCTCCATACATTGTTGGAAGCTGCATCCTTCATCTGCCCAGCCTCCCATCCATCTAAAACCTCTAGCTCCACACCATGGGGACACAGTGGCACCTGAGCACAGTGCTTGGTTCGAGCTACTGCAGCCAAACGGGGGATGGCACCCACTGGTCCTGAGGAAGGGAAAAAAACACCTCTTGTCATCCTGGCTCCCCCAAAAACCACCTGGCATGTGAGGAGAGCAGAGGAACACACAGCATTGTACTTCACAGTCCTGCCACTGGCATTGTACTGCCAGTCCTGGGCAGCCTTTCCTCACAGGGATTCCAGCAATTTCATGTTCTTTATGTCTGTCTCTGCTAACTGGAGCCCTAAAACTGGGTGTGCAGTCTCCAAAGGCCAGGAAAAGATAACCCCTGGGGCATTCATCCCAGAAGCACTGGTGGGTGCCCTCTTCTAGCTGACTGTATATACTGAACTATAGTTGACTGTCTACATGTGACTGAGACAAACCAAAGCTTAAATCTCCCAGGTCTTTGAAAAATGGGTGAAGTTCTTGACAGAAGGAAACCTTTGTTGCTTCGTTAAAATGCCTGGCATGCTTTCAGTACTCAAAACCTTAATGCCATGGCTTAACATATAGTAGCATTTATTACTCAAATTAGTATTATGTTTTGGGTACAGAATATAGGAAAAGGTCCACATCCAGACTCCCCTCCATCCCCACCAAATTCCTTTCAAGATGCAGAGCAGAGAAGTGATTCCCACTTTGGCTTTTCTGGTTTTTCTAATTTTGGCCAACCCCCAAAATAAAATAAAAAAAAAAAATAAAAAGGATGCCAAGGATATTGTCTGATGACCTGCATGGCATGTTCTTTTGCTCTTTCTCAAAGGGCTGAAACTTGTCCTCCTTACCCATCTCTGCCAGTGCTTGCATGCAGCCCTGGTGTGGTTAGGAACCAGTGCTGAGAACAGGAGGAATTCCAGGAAGAGATTTGTGAAAAACTGTTGCAACATTTCAGTATTATAAGATTTTTGCAGAAAATGGAGCTACCACACTTGACACAGCAGCCTTGTGTTTGTTGCCATCACACCATTGGCTTTTAAACATGCAGGCTTATCTCCTGCACTAGTCTCCTCCTGAAATCAAAAGCTATCTTTTGGGGTCTTCCTTTTATTCCCTGTGTAAACCTTCATCATTCCATCTCCCCCTTCCCAAAAAAAGACTTTTCAGGCTCTACCTGCTTAGCATGTATGATGAATCCTGTCATAGTAATTCCCAGTTTTTCCTGTGGTGAATTTGAGCCTGAATGGCTTTACAGCTCTTCAAAATGAACCAGAGCAATGTTACACATCTCCAGTGAACAGCACTGAAAATCATTGTGGAGCACACATCAGTGCACAATTATAGACCTAATGCTGGGATAAAACATTGACTCTGTGGATAAGTCCTGCTATCCAAGTGCCAGAAAAAATAAACTGCTGTGAGCCAGCAGAATAGAACAGGAACCAACACTCAGATGTTCCAAAGGGACTTGGTACCTGTGAGGTGGGCAGGGATGACCTTTGGAAGTAGAGTTCAGTAGGCTTCATGCTTGGCAAAGGATAACAGTGTGCAACAGGCACCTTCCCAACACTACTAAAGTCTGAGGAGCTCTCAGTCAAAGGACATTGCAAAATCGTTACAAAAAGTAGATCCTGCCTTGGAAAAGGCCAGTAAAAGCAAGCAGGACTGCTGGCTGTCTCCTCACTTCTGGAGTCCCAGCTGCTAGGCAAGGATCTGGGACTGCAGCAGAAAAAAGAGCCTGTGGGATGTGTATCACAGAATGGGCACATCCTAGCAGAGGGAAGGGTCTTACCCAGCACAGATTTGCCAGAACTATGACAAGGTGAATTTTGCTCTTCATATATTTTTTCTCTTTTTTGAAACAGATAAGCAGCTTAGTGCATCTGTGAGATGAAGACTGAAAAATCCAGAATTCCTGGTGCTCAGGCATTGATCCTCCCATTTCTCTTATTTTATTTTAGGGAATTTTTGTTACGTGGTTTTCAAGCATCTACCTGCCTTGCCCTCAGCCAGTGCTTACACCCACCTGAGCAGCTGCTTTTCCTTAGATGCTCACAAAATTATCACTGTTGCTCCAGTTCTCTGACCCTTTATCTCTATAACTAGAGCAGCCAGAGGCAATGAGAATTGTGTAACCATCTCCCCACTTCCCAAGTGCTTGGGACAGGTCTGGTAACTTTGACAGTATGTCTCATGGGACACACAGAATAAATCTCTATTAGATTAGGGCACTTATAAATAAACTGGCTGCTTGTCACAGAAAAAAATGAAAAGGTCCTTATTTTAGTTACTGGATGACAGAGGCAAGGAACACAAATATTTTGGCTAATATTAAACTATTGGTAATCGATGAAAAATCAGTATCTTTATTTTAAAAGTTATCTCAAACCATGTAATGAAAATTAAACTACTGCCAGATTGAAAGCCAACAATTTAAAACCAGCATGTCATCTATAATCTAATGGTGTACAGAATTACCCTGCACAGATGGGGCTCAAAGAGTAGTCGTATGGCCAGGTGATAAAGAACTGAAAGTGATGTTTTTTATAGCAGAGCAGCATCTGTGATAACCCACAGCCATCCTCAGACACTGTGGAACTTGGCGGCAGATTCACCGCTGAGATATAAAACACATGACGAGCACGTAGTGACATCAAAAGCAGTGCAGTGTAATGGTGTTCAGATGTCTCCCCTCAAGCCCACACAAAAGCTGCTCTCAGGGCTGCTGTAGCTCAGAACTCTCAATGATTCCCTTTTGATAAGCCTGTTGTTAACAAATCCAAGGAGTCTTATGAGCAGCACCTCCTGACTTTGTTCCTTTGCTAACTGGAGAGCATGAAGGCTTCTTCTGTTGCCTGGAAGACGTGTGAAGGTTCAGGTTTTAGACCTCAAATCCTGTTTTTACTTCAGAAGTCGATTGCACAAGCGGACAGTGAATGAGTGTCTCCGTTTCCCTTGCGGTCAGAGAAGATCCTATTCATACTGAGTTTACAAGCAAACACTTCCTTTGGTAAGCTTCCCATGCAATTCAATTCATGTGCGTGCTTTCAGGCTCTGTCTTTGGGTCTGGACTAACATCAGAACAAGCAAGAGAGGCAGGCTCTCTTCTCAGCCCACCACAGCCTTTTCTGCAGTGCTTTGAAATGATGAAACACACAGTGTTTTCTGCATACTGCTGCAGTCCTGTCAAGTCACTGCGATTATTCACGCATCAAGAGGCTAAGCACACACATGGGTATCTACTGGATGATGTACACCCATTCCAGAATTTTACTTGCTTAACAATCAATCTAATGTTTTTGCTCTTTATAGTTACTGGCTGGGAGCCTAGAATCTGCTGGCACCTACACACAGGATTCTCCTCTGAGCATTCTGTGACCACGTCAGGTGTTTGAAATATTATGTATTAACAATAAGTACTTTATGACCAGCAAAAACATTATTATTTATGGAAGACCTGGAATTTGCCATCAGTACCTGTAGTGAGGAGCCATCAGCTTAAGGCTTTGACTGTACTAACAGAAAGAAAGACCTGTCCTTGGGATATTCTTACATTTTCCATTCCAGGAAGCCCTTTTCTAAGTGCATCTTCTTCACTGTATAATAAAGCACTATCCATTAGGCAAATGTTTAGTTAATGGACACAGCAGGATCCATATATGAAGATTTTTAGGGAAGATTCACTTGAAATGGCAATGAAACTTAATAAAGTTGCACAGTGAATTCTAAGCTAGAGATTCTGGCCACAATACTGGAGCTATTCTTGAGAAAAATGTCATGAGGTACTTGTGACCACAGGTAGGTAAGACCTTTGTCATCAGCCACTCATGAGGAAACATGAGTATCCAAGAGGACATTGTCTAAAATAAGGCAGTGTGTTGGCCTTGGCTGTTGAGTCATCAGTATCACTTCCTGCAGCCCCTGCTTTTGCTCCAGGTATTTCTCAAGGGAGCACTGACTTAGTCTTTTTGATTCTTCTAGAATGAATAAGATCACAGCTCCAGAGCAGTAATGATGAATATGTCCTTGATTCAGAGGAATGTGCACTCCTTTTAGCACAAGTGTGCTAAATCTTCCATGAGATGCCTGCCTGATTAGTTTTTATCTTTATATGGCTTCACTGATTTGAAAACTTCAGACTCTCTAGTTGTAAAATGGAAGAATCTGTTCAAGTGAGAGAGCAAGCTTAAGTGAGCAAGTGTTAATGGCTTGTGCCTCAGGGTACCACTGAAAGCTGTTGTATGTGGATCTCTCTTGCCTTTAATTCACTATTTGCCTAGACATTTCTTTAATCCTCCAAAATACTACATGGAACTTCTCTAGCAGAGACAGATTCTCTCCAGTTTTTAGTGACAGATCCTTCCCAGCTACCCTGAGGTTTGCTGCATTTGTAAAGCACACCTTATGGGAAAAAGAAAATAAAAAACAAACACCTGACCTCTGAATTTCTTTTTAAAAATATCATTGCAAAATTTCTGACGTCAGACAGTGAGACACAAATTACCCTGTGAACTGTTAACATATGCCTGTTTACATATGATATCTTATAGCCAAAGCAGATTAAGATTTGAAGGTTTAACTGCTGTTGAGTTTCCACTATGTGAATCATACAGATCATACAGCTTATTCATCACAGGCACTTATTTTTATTCTTTAACTCTTTCAAGCTACTTCTTCCCAGAGTGGAGTTTAGGGGGAATGTGGGACACGTGGGAACAGAGAGATCACAACTGCACAACAAACCCTGAACTTTGCAAATGAAGGAGCAAAGAGCTGCCATTAACTGCAGCCACCCCAGTGAATCAGTAGTGGTTTGTATCTTGCACCAGGTGAGCTGACAAGCACAGAAGCCTTCCCCAGCTGCCACGGTCAGTCTGTCCTTCCACCTAGTTAAGAGCCAGCTGCAATGGATGCTGCAATGATGGCCAACCCTGGAATCTTTCAATTTAAGGAGGAAAATTACTTTAAGAACCAACAGGAGAGAACCGGCCATGACAAAATCGACAGGATAGCTCAAGTTCCAGGTTCAAAGAAAAAAAAATACCATTCAAGATACTAGGATTCCTTGGGTGCTATGATATAGTTTAAATTCAGAAATGCCAACCAATTCAGAATTTAAATTCAGAAATGCCACCAAACATTTTGGTGAAAACTTCATTGATTTTGGTAAATGCAGACAGTTTATTCTAGCACTTGAATCTGTGTGGTGCATCACTGATTCTAACGGGACTCAAGTAATCTCACCAGCAACACTGGCACAAGTGAACAAGTATCTGTCTTTTTCTGGATAACATGGCCGTATTTTAAAAGAGGCATCTCTGCTGATAAAAGAAAGAAACCTACCTCTATTTAAATACACATGCCTATTCACCTCAGATGTGATTGTTACTAAAGCTAGGCAGCCCAGTGCTGCCAAAAATCAGTCCATTTCTTTCAGGTGAAACCAAGAAAGATTTCAGAACTTCACTTGCTGTTCAGATTCTCTGATTCACTGACACTGCCTGGCTCAGGCTAGCAAAGGAGAGAAGGAAGATGATGTAGTTTGAAGCAGGAATATGAACATCCAAAAATACCTTTCCTCTTGGAGTGGCCATAAGTGACTGTTTGACTATTTGTTCTTTTCATTTAAAGTGTTGCTTCAGATTTGTTTGGTTTTTTTCTCCCAGCTGCATCATCTTAAGCAAGCAGTCCACCTTATTACCTGTGGATTAGCTAACAGAGGCTGAGTGCAGCACTGTGATGGGTCAAGCCTTTTTCATGCAGGACAACAAGGTGTAACCAAGGCAGCAATCTCCCTCACAGCATTACTCACTGGAACATGAGGGCAATGAACCATATCAGGAACTGCAGCAATCCAAGGCTATACTGGTACAAATGCCACAGGTAGCAAACCAAACCTGCTGCCACCAGTTTGTTGGTAGGAATCTGGGTATAATTTACCATTTATAATGTTATGTGTTATTGGAAGGCACACTCAGATACCAACACAAGCTAAATTTGAGGTGCAGCACTTGTTTGTGGCCATGGAAAATGTATGTACATCTTTGCATGTGAAAACTTGGGAGGCTGGTTGTCTCTAGGGATTGAATTAGGTCCAAGAGGACAATCTTAATGCACCTCTGCCAGAAACTGCAGAGCTTGTTTAACCAATGCAAGTTTCTGTTTCTCACTATTCTGCTTAGAAATGGTTCAAGAATAAATTTAGCCACAAACTTAAAGATGAAACAAAAAGGACATTCCCTCCCCCTCCCAGTTTTTTTTTTTTTTTAAATGCTATTGTTAATGTCCTCCCTTGTGGTATTTAACTGAAAAATGGTGACCCACCTTAAAAGCTATAGGTTTGAGCCCTGAGGTATTTTAAAAGGGACCAGATTTTACACATAAAAATACAAACAGGTACATACTGCTCAACCACCCCCCAGTCCCTATTTAGTTATTTCAGCTGGGATTCCATGGCAGAAGCACCCACGCTCGCTGCAGAGTTGGGAAAGGATGGACCTTGGGGGTTAGACCACATAATGAAAATTAGCCAGCCAATTCCCATATGAAGTGTTTTGAACACAAAAGCCCAGTACAAGTAATAATGGTTCAGTTCTCTTTTTCAGCTATGAAATCAGCTTGCAGATTAATATTCTTCAATTACAAAATAACAATTTTCAGTTTGAAGTGGTTTGTGCTCTTAAGTGCAATTGGGGTTAATAATGGTCTATGAAAGGAGAGCTGTTAGCAAACAGTAACCCAGAGTGAAAATCTTAGCACATGGGTACCTCAGCTACATTTTACATTAAATGTCAGATTGTAAATTCAGAAAAATTACATCTAGCCCACTAAGGATCCCAAAGCTCAAAGAAACCTGTATTTTCTGCTCACATATGCCAAGAGATAATTGTCATCTGACTGCCAAGGCAGCTTCTTTTACCTATGGCTATTTCTAACTCATGTATATATATGCCTCATCTGTCTGATGTGTTCAGATCAATTTAGGCAATAAATAGTGTCACAAAGTTTAAGTTCTTTTCTGGATCTGTGCCCAAAAGCATAGATATCTGAAGCTTATACAAAAAGATTAACTGTTTTTCAATCCAAGGCATATGGTTACAATATATTTGTACTATCTGAAATTTAGTTATTGGAATACCTCTGTAAATAATTGTAGTCTTCTAGCCTACAACATTAAGGTAAAGCCTTCTGGGACTCCCAAATGAAAAGGGCCCATATTAAATGCTTCTGAATTTCAAAAGAAAAACCTAAGTCAGGGCAGAGAGTTCAAAATTATGAAAAACAAGGCCAAATCCTTAAAGCTGAGTGGTTGTTCTCTGTGGCCACAAACAAGGTATAAGTGTGCAACACTTTCTGCAAATTCATCTCCAAGGTTTGTGTTACAACATGGGCATGGTCCCAAGCACTGAAAATCCTTGGTGACAGTGCCCTACTCCAACCATGCCCAGTAGTTACAGAGACAGTAACAGAACTATCTGCAACACAGAGCAAAGCACTCATTGTTACATGCTAGCAGGATCTGCATCGCTAATATGCTGAAGAAACTAGCACACTGAAAAGGAAGTTTAAATGCTGCAAAACATACTTTATTTACCAAATGCAAGCTTTTAGAAATTCAGGAAGGTAGAAAAAACCCAAACAAGTTTAACTGGAGTTCCTTATATTCCTAAGTTTAAAAAATGCTTTCAGTTACAGCAGAGACCTTCAACTTTGGCTATAAATAAAACATTTAACAATGATTTACCTATAAATGAAACACTTAACAAATAACAATGAGTTATACAACCTATTTAGAATCAGCAACTTATCTCACAAGACCTTTAATAACAAATTTAATTTTCTTTGTGGCAGTAGCATATCCAGCTCACGTGTCCTGGGTTGACCAGCTTTGTTTTTTCTGACTGTCAATCAGTCTTCTAAGTATATCATCTCGTACAAGATCTGATCCTTTTACATCAACATGGCTACAGCCCATTTTAGGGCATCTGTTAAAAAGAAAAGAGAGACTCTATTAAATTGGAAGAATTGTATTTTACAGATATGGGATTTGCATAACACCTGCTAGATTTATTTTTTTTTTCATTCTTTCTCTCAGTTCCTTGTTACCTCTTGTCCTCTTCACCACTTCTATGTGGAAAAAAATAAATCTATCTCAAATGGTGAGAATCATCAGCTAAAGGAAGGAAAGAAGGTGCACAGTAAGAGAAGGAGCCTTTCACCTGTATATCACTCTCTTGCTGCAAGCACACAAACTGCCTTCATCAGCAATGATATCAGCACTGCATGGACACCTTTCTGTGTTGCTTTCTCTCTCTGCAGTCCTCTAAAAACTGCAGGTAGATACTGCTTACCTCACTAAACTGCAGTGGGGCAGTATAATCTTCACTGGCAGATAAGCAGGGAGATTATTTTCTAGGGAACCAAAAGGGAGTGAGTCTTGCCATGACTGACTGGTGAATCAGTGGATTATCTAGTTGGTGTAAAAATCAACCTGACTTTTTATGAGCTGTGAAAGCTCAGAAAGGAGAAATGGGACCAAATTAACAGCCTCTAGATGATAATCAAATACAAAACGTCTTACAACTACTTGAAACAGCCAGATAAAGACAGCAGGGTAAAAGATATTCAGGGACCAAAGGTCATTTTCCTTCGGTGGCAGCCCAAACATACACAGATGGTATCTATAGTAAGAAGTAGCACTTTTCCTGAAATTTTTCCTCTCTTAGAGTAACATTTGTCTGAGGTGCTGAACTTATTTACACTCAGTGCTCATAACTTTTACTCCAGATTCGTCCACAGGTTACTGTGTTTGTCATAGATCAGTCATTTAATTGCTCTGTGCCTCAGTTTTCCCATTTATCACCTTAATACAGCAATAGCTTGCCAGATTAATGAATAACAAGTGCTCAGAAAGCTTCCCACATTTCCTGTAAGCATAAAGTATTAGTATGTCCTTCCAGGCAGTGGAAAATAGTGAGCAGAGCAAGAGACGTAAGAGTTGCCTCAAGGAGTGTGTGACAAGTCTGTCAGCACGGGCTGTGTGTACGTCAGCTGAAGGCTGGCAGGCAGGCACTGCACTGCCAAGGGCACTGAAGGCATCCTGTGGGTTCCAACTGGGAAGTACTTGTGAGGAAACAGCCACTGTGTGTCTGCAGAGTGAGCAGCAGCTCCGATTCCAGAGGCAGGCTAGCGAGGATCCTGCCCTGCTCTGCCAGGACACCTGCTCCCACAGGAATATCCCTGGCAGGAGCACAGCCCAGCAGCCAGGCCATCAGACTGGCATTCTGAACAGGGAACTTGCTGCAATAGCTGGCCTGCTAAAACCCATCATCTTCCCACCACAGCAGATGATGGGTTTTCAAAGTAACTGCATTTTCATGAGAAAGTTTAAAATTACCGTAGGTTGGTTAGACTGGGCAGAGAAAACCAAGGAGTCCTTCTTAATTTAGTTACAGGGAAGCTGTGGCATTGCTCTGTGTGTGCTTTTCTAGCACTGGAATAACTGCTGTAAAAATGGTAAGGCTGCCAGCTAAAAGCTCAGGATTAAGAACTGCTAGTGTTCAGACTGCACAAATAATTTTGGTTTGAGGATAAGGTAGCTTTTAAAGCTGGGTGTTGTACAGTTGATATGATTTTTTAACTCCAGAGTTTCTCTAGTCTTCCATTTCTTAAAAGGTAAAATAAAATTCAGTCATGTGAGCCTATTTGTTTTTCAGCAAAGCTGAAACTTTTGATCCACTACAACAATTCCTCCTAAATTGACATTGTTCTGATGGATTTAACAACACAGAGAAATATTTAGATATGAACATCCTAAATTCAGCATCAGAGAAAGTATTCTTGTCATTGGGCTGTTAAGCACATGCTTTTTAGCCTCTCCCTATCCTCCAGAACACTCACTTTCCTCCAACTTGAGAGCTATTACCCGATTCCTGTTCATTTTTCCAGCTTCTGTCCACGCATGTTGCTGGTTTTGTTGTTATTCCCAGTTATTCCCATTGCAGATTTTTCCCTAGATTTTGTAACACAAGCAAGGTGCTTCCATCTAGTTCTTCAAGCTGTCTTGACACTGAGATAGTGGCTGAGCATCCCAACTGATGCTTGGTTTTATAGCAGTGCTTTCCTGTAACAGGGAAGGAGCATGGAATAAAAACTCCAGCTCCACCTTTGTAACCCTCATGGAGGACTGTGTAGAGCCTCACACAAATGCCAGAGCAACAGATGGAGGAAATAAGCTGCCTGTGGCATTATCTTCAGGGAAATCAGGTTGCTGGTCCCCAACAGACCTTCCTAAGCAAACTGCACATTTATTAAGAAGTCCACAACTGGTAAGTTTCCATGAAATAATCAGCCCCAAAACAGGAAGGTCTAACATAAATGGTATAAAAACAAAGGTGAAATCAATGATGAGATGATATGTCCTCTCAACTTGCTCCAAAAAGCATTAGTGTTCAAGCCTCTTCTTTTTCTACTTTTTTTTTCTGTTTTTTTCTTTAAATCATTATCGCAGATTTTGAGGTTTAAAAATTCATCTTTTACATCTTTTCATTCAAAAAAATATGTCCCATGTGGAAAAGTGACAGACTATTTTGGTGATATAAGGAAAGAATTATTTAACTGCATCATGGTAGGAACTGCACTGCACTATCTAATCTCATTCTTTAATTCTATCTAAAATGTTGTGGTTTAATATTTCTCACTTTAACAGTTGTTTTAATATTTCTCAGCTGTATTGGAATATAACTGCAAAAGAAGGTGCACGGAGGAAATTTTTTTTTCATTTACTTCAAGGCATGCTACATAACCAGTGGGAACAAATCAGCAACTAAATTTTAGGAAACTGAGGTCTCTCTTTGTTGGTCATGGCTATATGAAATCTCTTTACTTCTGTTGTGCAGCTACAAGTAGCTGTAACTTCCCCACACAATTCCTGAATATTTCCTTACACACTGTTTTCATTAAAAAGAAAAGCACCTTCACGTGTCTAGTTCTAATGAGGAGGCTGTGATTTGGGCAAATGCTGAAGTTTTACTTCCTGCAGCCTTTCCAATCCAAATACATTTCCTAGAACAAGTGGAGTAAAATTCCACTTACACAGCAGAGCAAATAGCCTTTCCACACATTCTTTTTAGCTTACCGGACTTTTTTCTTTTTCTGCTTCTGAGTCTGAATCATTTCTAGAATGGCATCTTCTTCATAAATATGTCCACAGACCTTGTTCCTCACTGGCCTCTTCATTGTCACCTGCAATCAGTAAGGATTGATTTAAAGGAACTGATAATGCCCATAAAAATGCTTCTTCTGAGATTTTATGTGAAACAGCAGAAGTGTGTTTGCCACTCATACATGGCATTCCAGTCACATATGGGATGAGGTCCTGCTTGGTACACTGCATTCCCACTTACATGGGTTTTCTTCCCAAGCTCTATTGCTCTTTTCTGAAAATGCTTAAAATTTATAATATTGTTGTTATATATAATGTTGTTTAATAGGTACTGCAGATTTGTAATACACAAACCAATGAAGAATATGAAATAACTACTTCTCTGTCAATTACTGTAGCAGTGATACATACCTGTGTAATGGGACAAATAAAGTTCATCTGACTCCGAGTCACAGCTAAATCTTCATCGATTTGTTCAATGGTGTCATTACCATGATCTTATTTATGAGAAAGTAGAATGGCAAAAAGAAAAAAAAGTTTCTTGTTTAATGTAGATTGCCAATATTTAAAATAAGCTAATAAAATCCAACATTTGCCAAGCACTGTCTCACAGTGATATCTAAAATACCACAGCATGTTTCTGCACCACTCCATGAACAAGACACTGCAAAAAATACTGTACTAGAATGTCTTTTAGGAAATGCGGATTTTTATATTGTAACCACTTTGCATATGTGTGTGTGTGTGTGTGTGTGTGGCTATTTACAGGCAATGCCAGAAAGAAAGGCTGGGAAGGAGAGCAGTCTGGCCTGAAGATATGCAAAACCTTTGGTATTCACTATTCAAGTTCACCAAAACCCAGTTACACACAGGTAGAGTCCCCAGAACCTAACAAAAGATGAGGTGGAGCAGATCTGGCAGTCCTACCCTCAATATCAGTTTGTATTTGAGTGTCATAAATGGGCTTGCTGTATAGCCTGTACATACTGTACGCACTTTAAAAGGAATTTGTACTGTTTATCATAATGTATCATTTATAAAGCGATGCTGTTGTTTTTTGATAAGACTATAATTAGTGAAAAACAAAAGCCAAAAAGTGTCACGGTCAACAGAAATATTATTGAAGTAACCTTAAAGAGGAGAGGCAGAATGAAATTTCTGACAATTCCCAGAAAACACCCAGTGGCACAATGCCAGGGGATAAAGGGCAGACAAATGAGAATAAATCCATCTAGAGCTGGAGGATCTGCAGGTCTCCACCTTTACCAGAAGAAGAAAGCCAGATATAAGCAACTCTGTGCACTCAGGGACACACTAACTAGTGTTCATGCAGAAGTTAGTTAGCCAAAGTCAAAAGCTGAGACATGGGAGCAGCTAAGGAAGAGACAAATATGTGTGTGTGTGTATACATGTATTTATATTTATATTTATATATATTTAGAGAGAGAGAGAACTAAGTATAGCCTTAATGAATTACATACATGTTGTTTTATCTTCTAGCTCTCCTCTGTTATTGCAAATCTAGGCTTTTAGTTGAATGCATTTGTTTATCTTTGAATCTTATCTGGTAATAGCAGCAAACTTAACACCTGCCATAGCTTTCCATTCCTTTGGGGTAGTTCTGCAATGACTTTGCAGAGGCAGAGAAGGGCCCTGGGGTGCAGTCCTCAAGGTGTCCCAAGCAAAGAGAACGTTTTTCTTTCTAGCTGCACAAGCTGCACCCCAAGGGAGGAGTGAGAAACACCAGTGAACACAGAGAGTTCAGAATTACTTCATGATTTGCCTTCTACAGTGCCTCAGCCTGGGTTCCCTGTGCTGCTGTTGCACACTATCAGCCAATCTCTGCCTCCCTGGTATTCAGTCTTCCACATCTATTAAGGACCAGTGTTTCCTAACTTATGGTCAGTGCTGCATGCCTGTGTGATACTATCACCTTCCGGATGATACCAGCAGACATCACCCATGGAGCAACCAAATCCTCTCACACCCAGCCTAGGCTGAGCTCGCTGCCCTGGGAGCCAGCACAGCCCTGGCTGGGGGACTCCTGGCATTGATGTTGCAGCCATTGCTCCACCACAGCACCTCTTGGTATGCCAGGCCTATTTCCAGACCTTCCTCCTTAACAGAGCTTGCCTTTCTTTCCATTTCAGTATTCCAACCATTTAGGAATGTTTCTGACCCAGTGCTCTTACCCCAGGTATTGGGGTTGGAACTAGGTGACCTTTAAGGTCCCTTCCAATCCAAGCCATCTTATAATTCTACTCCTGTGAATACCACAGGAATACTCAGGCGTTCATCAAGGGTATTTCTGTGTCTGCTACTAAGGTCTCATGCAATCAACAGGGTGTGGATTCTGGGGGAAAAGGAGCTCAAATGTCCAATGTCAATCATAATTTCAAGGCTTTAATCTCCAAGAACATTAACATACCTTCATCAGATACGGACCACCTAACAAAGGCAAACACTTGCAAATCAGAAGGAAGAAGTGGGCACAATTTAACTATAAATACCAAAACTGCAATGGTATGGACACCAGAAATGCACTTGTGTTAGTCACGAGTTTTCAGAAAAAAGCTCTGTGACATATTATCCTTAAATTGCTCATATATATGGTTTATTCTATCATAAGCACATAGTATTTGAAGAAAGCACAACTTCTGCACAACTTTGGGAAAGAGGGTTTTTTTAAATAAAGCTTTTGAAATACCAAGCAATGGGTGAAATCCCACTAGGACAGCAAGGCTAAGCAATATTGGAGTTATTGGCATGTGGCAGCTTTGGAAAGAGCAAATTATCCCAGGCTGGGGTACCTTTTTCCCATACTGGCTTTGGAGGTGATTCAAATGCCTCATGTTTAATGGTTGAAATTTCATGAGTTGAGACCTAATCCTTGTAGGTGGGGTATATTAATCTTCTTGGATTCAAAGTGTCCTCTTGCTGCAATCTTATCTTAAACACTTCAGGTTGCACTTCATTTGCAAAGATTTTGTATACAGCCTATCAGAGTGGGGCCCTGGCTTCAAGGGGTGATCACAGCCCAAATGAATCATTATTTAAAATATTTCCTTTTCATAACCAGCTAATATTTTTAAAAACAAATATGCAAGACTGGGATGATGCAAGTAATACCTCAAGCATGTCAATAGCAAATTACCATCAATCAGATAAACCACCCACAGATTTGTTGCTATTGCTTGATGTTCTACATTACAGGAGAAGAAAGGAAAATCACTTTTTTCAGTGACAGTAAATTTTGCAGACATTACACAAGACATACACACACATCCTAAGCTGGTCAGAAAGATGCTCTAAACTGTAGCTCTATATCTGTAGCCTCATATTGAAAGATGTTTTCATTAAGGTCAAAGGGATTTTTTTACCAAATGAAATGTATGAAAATTTTGAGGATCTAAATTGGAAGTCTGACTATTCTACAGAAAGAAATAAAAACGCTGGATCATACATACTTCAGCTAAGTCAGGTTATATTTTTATAAAATTGAGTTTTCCTTGCAAATTAAAACCAGACGCAGAAAACACTAAGTTATTGTTCCCAAAATTCAGATGTTGCCTTAAGTAACAGAAGTGCATACATCTATTTTGGTAGTCTGAGAGATCACATATTAAGTGCCTTAACAGTTTCTAGTTTTCCATTCCAGCCAACTGAAACATGTTATGAGTATTAGTAACACATTTTCTATCTCGCTATCTCAGCAATGATGTTTACAGCTGTTGTAATAAAACTGCATTCTTATAAAGGTATCTATTTTTGGTAACACATCATAATGAATTTTGCAACTGCCAACGTTTTTTTTACTTCTTCAATTTTAATTAAAAGCTGGTATTAATTTATATCTTTATCACTTTCATCTCTTGATAATATTGTGACTAACATGCCTTTGCTCAGTTTTTACTTACTCTGCTGAGAGAGACTCAGAACTTTTAAGCCAAGAAGAACTTTTAAAAATAGGAAAACTATAGTGCAGAGACATTAACTGCTGAATTGTGAATTATACTAAGCATAGATAATATACATGTTAAAAAAACATGAGAGGAAAAATCCTCTCCACTGTCATTGTTATTTCTGTGACCAAGAGACTGCTGCCTGCTCACTGCTCCCAGTGTCAGCAATGCCCTCTCCCCAATTTCTGTTTCTCTAACCTGGTTCTCAGTGAGTACATGTTGCAATGTAAACTCAATTGATTTATTTCCTTTTGTGCTGGGCTGTTCTGCCTTCTCACCTGCCACAGTCAGACACTAATCCTGAGAATCAAAGGGTAATGTTAAGCATGTGGGATTGAGTCTTTGTAAGCCTGAGACACCAGACAGACAAGGTCTTGGCTCCCAAGAGGGTCTATTGTACTGCTGACTCCATAGAAATAACAGCAACTCATCCAGGCTGGGAAAAATCCTATCTCTGAGAGCTCCAAGAAAAACATGAATGTTATGAGGACAAGTCAGATGCCAAGTGTTCCTGCCAGCAGGGCACAGAAAATAATGAAAGGTGGGGGAGGTGAAGGACACTGTCACATCCAAGAGTTGTGTTCTAGGAGTCAGAAGACATCTGGGCTGAGGAAAGGCCAGGGCCAAGTCTAAAGGAAGGACCTGACACTGCTGAGAACAGCAGGTAATGCTTGAAAGTGGGTCAGCATGCCCATCACTGCTCTGAATTTGGGTTAGCCTTCAGTCCAGAGAAGCACACCAGAACAAGTGTCCAGTGCCCTTCCCTAGGGATGGATCTGCAGTAAACGCTGTAGGAGTGAAATAAGAGGGGACACAGAGAGTAATACCTTCCTGGCAAACTCTCCAGTCTCCAGCAATTTGTGGCCAAGGACTTCCTGAGTCAGAGGTAATATCTTCATACTTAATAAGCCCTGGAGTTTTCCTTCAATGAATTTGTCTAAACTTGGAGAGGGGAATTTCGTCCTGGACCTTTCAGCTTGATTAGAGACAGTTATCTTTGCTAGAAAGGTTAGCAACAGTTTAATTTTCCTTGAAAATTACTGCAGAGGCTGCAGGTTACAGTTTAATTTGATTTTTAAGAGGGAAAATAAGGTGTGCAAGCTACAGCTGCAGTCAAACAGTTCAAAGGCTTTGCACTTTTTGCCAGAGGCATGTGATAGTTTAATTTGCCAACCAAGCCAAACTAGGCTTTGCATTGAAGTACATTACAATTTGATTACTTGCTGGTGTTGCAATACAAAGTTGATCTAAGGAAGGTGGCCTCTAACATGTTGCTCCAGATTGCAATTGCAAATTTACTTGCTCCTGCCCAGGCCAAGCAACTTGCTGGTAATTTACTGCCAAGTGCTTTGTATGAGCCCTGTTTGACAGGAACTTGTGTAAAAAGCACACAGAGGTGCATTTGGTCCATCCAAAATAAAATGACAATCCTGTAAATATAAGCCATTCTTATTTTCCTGGAGTATGAAATACAAATTAGATTAATGTATTACCAAATTTTTAGTTCCTTTACATAATAGTGAAGAAGGAAAGGA